AACTGCTGAGCCATCTCTCTAGCCCCCTAGATTGTTTTAAATATAGTTGCAGTAGGCAAATACCAATAATATGATTTCACAGTGACCTCATTATAGCAGCATGCTAGTTTTCCATTGCTGTAACAAAGTAACTGAAGTAATCTGAGATTTATTTTGACTCATAATTTGAGGGAATTCTGTCTGGTTACTTGGTTCCTTTGCTTAAGCATTGTCCTAAGCAGAATATCTCTTCAGGAAATGTGTGATGGAGCTGAACTGCAATACCTCCTGTCCTCCAGGAAGCAAAGACCTGGCCTGAACCTCCATATTCCCTTCAGGGCATGCACAGCTATTCTCCACTCTCCACTAACTTAACTTTTCACTAGTCCCCACCTTCTAAAGGTTCCATCACCTTCCACTAAGCTTTTCAAGGACGTTTAAGATCCAAACCATAATAAATAGACTGTTGTGGTTCATTTTGGAAAATGAAAAAGAACAAGTGATATGTGAGTCTCTCTTTCATCATCCAACCTGAAGATTGGTTGGACGAAGTGCACTCCCCTGCTGAAGTTTAAATATCAGTAATTGCATATTAAGAAATTTCATTTTGTGTTCAGCAGTTTTTTACATACTTGCCTTTTAAAATGCAGTGACTCGATGGCTTACATTCTTTTGAACAGTTCAGGAAATAAAATTCCATCTTTTCCTTGGAGGTTTGGTAGAATTTGTTCATTAAGCTATCTTGTCAGTTTATGTTTTTGGGTGGATTTCAGGGGACAAAATAGTACTACAGCTTACTGAATCAGATGGAATAACTGACTTTTTTTTTTCAGTAAAACACCTTCTCTCCCTCAGGCTTCTACCCCCAGCCTCTGTGTGTGTGTGTGGGGGGGTATGCTTTATAGCCCACACTGACACTGGTCTTGAACTTGAGATGACACTCCTGCCTTGGCCTCCTAACTGCTGGGATTGCAGGCATGACTGTGCTTTAAAAGGTCTTGCTGAGTATACTTCTCATTCATTTAGCTTTAGATTTTATTTTTTATGTGAATGAGTGTTGTGTCTGCATGTAGGTAAGTACACCCGTGTCGTGCAGTGCCCACAGAGGACAGAAGAGGCTCTTGGATCCCCTGGCACTGGAGTTATGGGCAGTTGTTAGCTGCCATATGGTGCTGGGATTCGAACCCGGGTCTTCTGCAAGAACAGTGTTCTTAACCGTTGAGCCATCTCTCCAGCCCCTAGATTTTTATGTGTATGCTTGTATGTAAGTGCACCACCACATATGCTATGCCCATGGAGGCCAGAAGAGGGTGTCAGATCCCCTGGAACTGAAGTTGTAGATGGTTGTTAGCTGCCATATGAATGCTGGGAACCAAACCAAGGTCCTCTGCAAGAGCATCAACTGCTGAGCCATCTTTCTGCTCCCCCTTTCCACATCTTAAGACTTGCATTTATTTACTTTCCTGTTTTTTGTCTCTGACTTTTCAGCCTTCATTTTCCTTTCTAGTTAATGTTTGCTTTATTCCTTAATTCACCTGCTTTTTTGGTTGATTTCTTTTTTTTTTTTTTTGGTACTATTTGTTAAAATGTTTTCTGTAATTATACATAAACATTTAGAGAGATTTTAGAGAGATGTTGTTGAGAACATTGGCTTGTTTTACAGATTTTCAAATATAATATGTTTGTTTCTTTTAATAGGTGGTATTTACTTTTGATACCTGTAGCCTGAGAGAAGTTAAAATTGTTTTGTTATAAGGGTGATATCCACTTAAAGTCTCTCAAGTAAAGGGGGGACTTGACTATAGAGAATATTTGATTTTACCAGGAATGGGGCCACACATGAGCTTTGAATTAGGGACTTTTTGACTTGCCATATACATTATTTTATGTATAAAGTAACAACTTTATTCTTTTAATATGTTGGTTAATATCTTTTTATGTAATAACTAGAATAGGTAGTATTTTCACAATGTAATTTGTTTCCTTTTTAAATAGAGAAAGTAGCCTCGCAGACGTTATCACACATCATGGTAGATGGGAGGGGGTCAGCAAAATTTGCATTAATTTCATTTTAAAATCTATTAGATCTTCCCCAAATTTCCGACTCTTAATTATTTCCATTTCATCTTAAGGAAAACATAAATCTTAAAAAGGGTGGGGGGTTGGAGAGATAGCTTAGTGGATAAGAGCATTTGCTGCTCTTTCTGAGGACCTGGATTTGGTTCCCAATACCCACACGGCAACTCAAAACTGTAACTCCAGTTCCATGGGACTTGATGTCCTTTTCTGGCCTCCACAGTCACTGAATGTATGTGGTGTGCTTACATGCAGACAGTACACTCATAAAATATAAATCTTAAAAAAGCAGTTTCACAGAAACAAGTTACTGGTGATTATATGTAACTACTATATTTTCCTATTTAATGAGATGTTTTCTAAATTGATTGCCTTCTGCTTGCTTTCATGTATATATACCATTTCAATCACATAATACTCTAGCTTTAAAACTTTCTGTAATTTATGTTTAAATGTGATAAAGAAACAAGGTGACTTAGTCCTAATTTTAACTTACTTTTTGGTATCTTTTATTATTA